ATTCATAAGGTGTTTTATTTGTTGTACTGTGTTTGCTAGAATTGTAGAGCATATTCAAGTGCAGGTAGTAATGAACACCAATCATGAGTATAGTTGTCTTTATCCTTGAATGTCATTCCATAGGCACAATATCTTCTGATCATGTCTTCCAAAGTTTGAATCATTCTTTCAGCCAGTCCATCTGTTTGGGGGTGGTAAGCTGTAGAAAATTTCAGTTGTGTCCCGCATAAATCATATAAATTTCTCCAAAATTCTGACGTAAATTTAGGGTCTCTGTCTGTAATGATATATCTGGGACATCCAACATCATAAATAATAGAATTCCAAAATAATAAGGCAGTATCCATTGCTGTATCTTCTTTATGACATGGTAGAAATCTTGCTCTTTTGGAAAATCTATCAACTACTACTAAAATTGCATTGAAATTATTAGGTCCTCCGGGTGGTAAGCCAGTAACAAAATCCATGTTAATAACAGACCATCTTTCTTTGGGTTCTTCAATTTCTTGCAATAATCCATACCTTTTCCCTGTAGCTTTATTTGCTTTTTGGCATCTGTCACAAGATTCACAATAATCTTTGGTATCATTTCTAAAATTAGGCCACCAAGCAATTTGTTTAACTCTCTCAATTGTTCTGTCAAAGGAAAAATGAGCTGAGGATATATTGTCGTGACATTCTTTCAAAAATAAATTAATGTGTTCTTTTAAACAAATAACTACTACACTTGTATGTTTAATTCTGTGGTAAATTAATCCATCTAATAGAGAGAATCTATTTTCTTTGAATGAGCTAAGCCATGGTTCTTCTAAGGAATTGATCAGATCATTATTTTTGAAATTACTTTGTAATATATTCTTTATTGTGGAGCAATTTTTATTTTGGTCATAACTAATTCTAATTTCATCCCAAAATTCTTCTTGCATTTCAGTCACGTGTAACCCACAAATATTAATATCATCATTGTTATCATCAAAGGCAGGATTATTTTCATTATTTTCCTCTGGGAATAAACACATAATTTTTGCAGCAATTTCTCCGTCCCATGCTGGGTTGTCTGGTATATTTTCCAAAGACCATCTACTAAGTCCATCAGCATTTTTATGTATATTACCTTCTCTATGTTTGATAGTCATACTTCCTCTCCATTCTTGAATAGCTATTTGCCATCTGAGCATGTGTCTATTTGGAGTTTTCATACTTAATAAACTTTTGAGGGCTGTACAATCAGTGATGACTTCAAATTCACATCCATCAAGGTAATAATATAATTTATCTAGGGCCCAGACTAAACATAAACATTCAAGTTGGCTGGCCCCATATTTTTTCTCACTGTCTTTCAATGTTCTAGAAATATAACAAATGACTCCTTCTTTTGGTATTTCTTGATCTTGAATTTGGTGTAAGGCAGCTCCTAATCCTTCCATACTAGCATCTACATATAATTTATAAGGCTTATTAGGATTAGGCATGAATAATATAGGAGCAGAAGTAAGTAATTCACGTAATTTATTAAATGCAGCTACTCTATCTACTGTCATCTCAAAAGCAGTGTTTGGGCTACTTAATTTATATAGACAACCTGTTACTTTGGCAAAATCTTTAATGTGTTGTCTATAATAACTAGCAAAACCAAGGAATGACTGTATTTCTTTAACATTAGTGGGCATAGGTTTTAACATTACTGCAGCTACTTTATTTTTATCTATAGCTATGCTCAATCCTGAAACTATGTGGCCTAATGCTTTAAGTTCTTGAAAACCAAATTGACATTTGTTCATAGAGATCTTCATATTCATTTTTATAACTCTTTCTAGAACAATTTTTAATTTGTCAAGGTGGTCATTCCATTCAGTGCTAAAAATAATAATGTCATCAATATAAATTATTAGCCATCCTTCACGTAATTCTTTATGAAATTCAGTATCCATCATTCTTTGGAAGTGAGAGGGTGCATTTTTAATTCCAAAGGGCATTCTCAAATATTCATAAATACCCATATGTAGAATAATTCTCATTAAGTGTCTACTATCTTCATGAATAACATTTTGATGAAATCCTTTAAGTACATCCATACACGTAATATATTTAGCATTTTGTAGTTGCGTAATGGCTTCACTTATTTTAGGCATTGGATATCTATCAGCAATTGTGTAATTGTTGAGAGCTCTGAAATCTCCAACCATTCTAGATTTACCATTATGCCACGCAATAATTACAGGAGTAGTTACTTCAACATTTTCATTGGCACCAACTTTTCTAAGTACATTCATTTTA